TTCCATTAAATCTTGATAGTTATGCATTCTTCTTTTCTTGTATGCTCTCCTTTTCCGTCTAATAGCTTCATCACACTCCTTATTCCACCATGGTACCATTTTTGTCTCTCTTCTTCCTTTACTCTTAGGAATATTACTTACTGCTGCATTTTTCATGACCCCTATAATTTTCTCACTTATAGCTTCTATGTCATCTCCATTTCTTACTTCATTTATGTCTAAACCATCCTCCACCATTTCCACATACTCAGTCCAGTTAGCTTTCTCATATTTCCATCTCCCTTCTCTTCTCTCATTTCTTTCTACACAATTATTCATACACATTTCAATCAAAATTGGAAAATGATCACTGCCTATAGTATATTTCCTTAATACCTTCCAGTTAATTATTCCCCCTAACCTACTTTTTGTTAGAGTTAAATCTAACACCGCTTCTTGACCTGTTCTCATGTCTATTCGTGTACCTCCCCTATCATTCAAACAGATCAAATTCCTCTCATCCATTAATTCTTCAATCACCTGCCCCTTATTACCTTCCCTATTCCTTTGCAATCGCTTTGCTTCAATTAAGAGGATGACCTATTCATCAGGTGCCCTTTTATACTTCCGGGCTCCCTACCTATGACGTCATGGGCCATGTGGTGCTTCAGATACCGGTCATGCAGGCTGCATTTCCCATTGTGCCCCCTAGAGGGCGCAGCGTTGAGTTCCCTAGAAGGTGAACTGATTTATTTTGTGGCCTTAATTGTGTTTAATTGTTTCATGCTACAATGGCATGTGTTTCTACCGAGCGGCTACCTCCCGCTCTCTCTCGTGAAGCCAACACGGAAGTGACTTAAACTGTAATTCATCGACTGGCCGCTAGAGGCTGGCTGCAAAAGGGAGTCAATCCCATAGACTCCCCATGTTAAAATAGCAACCAGCTCCCGCCTCTTTGCCCATTTTCTATTATCCGGGAGTGACGCGCGGTGACGCGCTGCCAAGATGGCGACGGCTGGCTCCGCCTACTTTAGACTTCAAAAACGCTTGTCGGAAGTCTACGGGTTACGTCACGGACACTACGTCCATGTTTTTATACAGTCTATGGCAGGGGTGTCCAAACTCGGTCCTGGAGGGCCAGTGTCCAGAAGAGTTTAGCTCCAACCCTAATTAAACACACCTGAACCAGATAATCAAGCTCTTACTAGGCATACTAGAAACTTAAAGGCAGGTGTGTTGAGGCAAGTTGGAGCTAAACTCTGCAGGACACCGGCCCTCCAGGATCGAGTTTGGGCACCCCTGGTCTATGGTTTCTACTTTTTTTTTTCTTTTTTCTTTTTAGAAGTTTGGATGTCTCTGGAGTGTAAATATGTTTGTGTGATGTATTTAAAGTGCACTTAGTAAAGAGCTCAAGAGTTTTCAGCTGCACTATTACTTTGTTTCGCTGCATTTTTGCTGTTGGCAGTAAGAAAATCAGGTAATCATTTTAATGCAGTATAGATTCATATTGCTGACACTGACACTGAAAATGCTATTTATGTTTTCATATTTAGATAATTTTTATTTATTTTTCCAAATTGATTTTATGAAATATTTTATATGCACAAATTGATGCTGTCCTACTTGACTACATTTTATGCGTTCATGTGAAAAGTATTTTTTTGTGCTAATGAATCTGGAAACCATTGTTTTTCTTTTAATTTTTTTCTTCACTTTCACTGGACACTCAACTCAGTTTTGAGCTCATGTGTAGTTCTGTGTTTGGTCTCTGTGTGTCAGTAGTGTGTGATAGTGTTTGAGCAGCTGCAGCATCAGTTCAGTCACTGTGACTCTGACTGACGGAGGTTTTTGTACGACTCTTTATCACTGTGTGAACACATTAACACTGTTTATGTAGTGGAAACTCTGACAGTAATAATGTCCAGCATCTTCAGTCTGGACTCCACTGATGGTCAGAGTGAAATCAGTCCCAGATCCACTGCCACTGAATCTAGATGGAGTTCCTGACTGGAGGGTGTTTGTTCTATAAATCAGGAGTTTAGGAGCTTCTCCAGGTTTCTGTAAGTACCAGGATAGAGGCTGATAACCCCAACCCTGGTAAACTTCAGGGCTGGTTTTACAGGACATGGTAACTGTGTCTCCTGGTTGAACAGGTTTGACTGCAGGCGTCTGAGTGACTGTCACTTCAGCTGCTGATTCTACATCAAGAAAAATGAATAAACATTAAAATAAAATATCTGTTGAACAATATTTCTAGTGCAGATGATCAGTTAGAGTATTGTTTCCTCACCCGTGAAACAGTAGCTAGTGAAGATCCAGATGAAGATGGTGATGAAGCTCATGGTTGCTGTTGGTTCAGATTCTCAGAGTTCAAACTCACAGAGCTATAAAACCTCCTGAAGCTTGTGCTGCAATGCAAATCATCTCTATGTAAATCTGTGTATGGGTTACAGCAGATGATGCATGTAAAACATAACAGGTTAATTCCTTGTCAAATCAACCAAATTAAAAAAAAAATTCCCTAGCTTTCTGAAGAAAGACAGACATGTATAATGACGAAAGCCAAAATATTAAATGTCATGGATGAATATTTACTGAGTAATCCACCATTTTGTAGAGGAGGGTCAAAATGGCAATTTTTACCTGAGATTCAGAGCCAAATTACAGGGGGGTAAAAATTACTTCAGAAAGATCAGCATCATAATGTTATTTTTACACAGAGACTGGTAGGTCTATTAGTAAAATCTGTTGACTTTAGCAATCTTTGTTGCATTATGTGCCAATAGTGACCATTCAAAAATGGGGAAACAGCACTTTTCAAGTTTTTTCTCCAAAGTTTGCATGCCTGTAACTCAAGACGTATTAAAGATATCTTAATGCCCTTTTAGATATTGGGTCTTAACAAACTTTCCTTTTGGTTTATTCATTTTTTAGGCGCTATATGCTTCGGTTCCTGAGATATTGGAATTTCAATATGGCTATAGGAGTAAATTGTTAAAATGTACATTTCCAGTGGTCAAAAACCAAATGTGGGTCAATTTGCAAAAAATATGATACTTCTTTTCTTTCATTGGCACATAATGCAACAAAGATTGCTAAATAATCTCTGTGTAAAAATAACATTATGATGCTGCCATCTTTCTGAAGTCATTTTTACCCCCCTGTAATTTGGCTCTGAATCTCAGGTGAAAATTGCCATTTTGACCCCCCTCTACAAAATAGTGGATTACTCAGTAAATATTCATCCATGACATTTAATATTTTGGCTTTCATCACTAAACATGTCTGTCTTTCTTCAGAGAAAATATTAGCAAAATCAAAAATTTGAGCCGGGGACCTCTGGTTGAGTTGACACGGAATGACCCAACAGTGTTTAGGATCTTTTCTCATGTTACGAGTCAAAAAAATTGACTCGAGTGTCTGAAGCTAAAGACTTTCTGATGATTCAAATGATGATTCAGCTGCATCAATAACAAAAACAAGTGTCACTCTGATCTCCACGAGGGGGTAAAGGTCACTCCAGACTGAGGTACAAGTCATCAAAACTTGATGAAAAAGCCCAAATTTAGATATTTTAATAAATTTTTTTGAGTCAATAGTTATGAGAAATGAGTAATGAATAATAACGTCATTATTGACTTAAGATGAAATAGCTACTTGAGTAACTGCTCAAGAACATGGTTATGTTGCTGGTACTACATAATGACTTTACTGTATGACTGTATAATAAGATATGAGTGTAGTGTACAAAATCAAAACAACATATGGCACCATTATTGTTTGATTTGCTATCAATTTACGTACTCTGTTCTCTCTGACTCTGACCATAGTTGAGTCAAATCCATCTGTCACAGGACAGATCACAGTTTAAGAGAGCTGATTTCACTCCTGTGTTAAAAATAAAGGTGCTTCACGATGCCATAGAAGAACCTTTTTGTCTAAATGGTTCCATAAAGAACCTTCAACACCTGAAGAACCTTTCTGTTTCACAAAAGGTTCTTTGTGGCGAAAGAAGGTTCTTCAGATTACAAAAAGGTAAGAAAGAGATGGTTCTTTAAAGAACCTTTGACTGAATGGTTCTTTGTGGAACCAAAAATGGTTCTTCTATGGCATCGCTTGAAGAACCTTTTGAAGCACCTTTATTTTTAAGAGTGTAGTGTGTGATAGTGTTTGAGCAGCTGCAGCATCAGTTCAGTCACCGTGACTCTGACTGACGGAGGTTTTTGTACGACTCTTTATCACTGTGTGAACACTGGACCACGGAAGCTTTCCAGACAGTAATAATGTCCAGCATCTTCAGTCTGGACTCCACTGATGGTCAGAGTGAAATCTTTGTCAGATCCACTGCCACTGAATCTAGATGGAGTTCCTGACTGGCGGTGGGTTGTATGATAAATCAGGAGTTTAGGAGCTTCTCCAGGTTTCTGTAAGAACCAGGACACACAGGGTGGGCTGCAGGCTGTATCACTACTACTGAATTTACAGCTCATCTCTACATTTTCTCGTGGTGTGGCAGTTTTCAACGAAGGAGTCTGAGTGACTGTGATCTGAGCTTTACACCCTGAAAAACAAATCTTTTATGAGTCTATAAAATATATATTAGGCTACTTATCATATTTTTAAGTGATAAAATTATATAATTTAAATGATTCAAATATATACTAGTCACCTTGTAGTATAAAGCAGTATGAAAGTGTCCAGATGAAGATGATGATGAAGGTCATGTTGATGAAGATTGTTGTGTGTGTCAGTGATGAAGTGTTAAACTCACAGCACTATAAACACTCTCAGAGCACTGAAGCATCTGATCAATATGCAAACACACTCCACATCATTTACCTGAAGACAGTCACTCAGTCTCAGTCATAGGCCTAGAATAAAAAACAATTCCTGAAGTGAGAACATATAGTAATAATTAGTCTTTTTAATAGCGTTCAATCATCTGTTAGCCAAACTATTAAAAATTGTATCATTCAGTTTAATTCTCAATATATCTTCAAGACCAACTTTAGTATATTATCCTGACTCTCTCCTGTGAGACTTTGAGAATATTTTTGACTGTAGTTGGATAGAAACATGACTGTTAATTCATAAATCAACTTGTTCCTGCAGGTTTTTACAGAAATGAGGATCATCACACACGTGTCTCTGTCAATCACTGAATCAACTGAGTTTGATTGTGAGTCGCATCACATGATATAAATTTTTTTTTTTTTTTTCAGAAATTCAGGTTTGTGCTTTAGTAATAACACAGACTGCATAAAGCAGATGAAGTAAAGTAAGGTCATTTGTGCTGTGAGTGGATGTGTTTGTTGGAGACTCAGTTGATGTGTGTTTGTGCAGTTAGTGAAGCGTTCAGGAGGTTTTTGTTCAGCTGCTCTATTAGTTTCTATCACTGTGGTGGACGTTTGGCAGCGGCACCAAACTGGATGTTGGCAGTAAGTCAATCATCATTTAATATTATTAATACAACAACTGACTGTTAAACACTTTGTTGCTCTATAGAAAGGATGCATGTTTCCATTTATTTGTATATTTTAATTTTATTTTTAGTTCACATTGAATGTTTGGCAGTCAACATTGTAAATGTGGTTTTCATTGTCGTGGCATCTTAGTTGTCATCCAGTGAACTATAATCATTTCTGTTATGATTTTATAAGATTTTATTGCTTTAGCTTTTTTTTTTTTACTCATTGATCATTAAATTCTAAATGGTTAAAAATGTGCATTGAAATAGAATTTATATTCGGTTGTCATTTTGGCACCACTTTGATTTTACTTGAAAATTTAAGACAGTAAATTTTAATTTCAGATTAGTGTGCACTCTAAAAAATGCTGGGTTAAAAAGGGACACACCCAGCTATTGGGTTGTTCTGACCCAGTGGTTGGGTTGTTTTGAGCCAAAACAACCCAACCGCTGGGTCAAAACAACCCAATAGCTGGGTTTGTCCCTTTTTAACCCAGCATTTTTTAGAGTGTGTTAATTTTGAAGTAAAGCCTGCAGATATATTTTTTTAACTGAAAATTAATGTTGCTTATTTGTATTTTTCTTCATATTTGTATAAATTATTTTTACAGTGATAGTAGACATGCCAGACAAAAGCTGTATTTTCTGGTTTTAAAACCAAATTTTATACCCAATTTTCTTTTGCTGTTATCAAAAACTGTAATCATGAAATGATAATGAAATCCTGCAGCTATTATATTTATTCACACCTAACCTTTATGCCTTTAAAAAAGTGATTAACACTGAAGTTGATAATGAAAATGTCTCTTCAAATCAATATATTTCACCAAACCTTCATTGCTGATCACAGGCTTTGAAAAAATGAATTCAGGTGACTTGCTGTTTAATCGTGCAAAAATGACTAGTAAAACTATGTATTTGTTCACATATTTTTTTATGAAGCTGAAAGGAGAGAAATGCTTTCTTCTTCACTGAGTTGACTGTTGTGTGTTTGTCAGGCATCACTCGTCCTAAAGTGAGCGTCCTGCCGCCCTCCAGTGCAGAGATCTCCTCAAAGAAGACAGCGACACTGGTGTGTGTGGCCAGCAAGGGCTTCCCGTCAGACTGGAGCCTGAGCTGGAAGGTGGACGGGAGCAGCAGGTCTCAGGAGAGCAGCGCTGGGCTCCTGGAGAAGGACGGTCTGTACAGCTGGAGCAGCAGCCTGACTCTCTCTGAGCAGGAGTGGATGGAGAGCGTCTCAGTGAGCTGTGAGGCCACACGGAGCGGCCAGCCTGCGCTCACTGGACACGTGACGAGACAGCAGTGTTCAGAGTAGATCTGCTGCTCTTCTCACTCATGTCTCACATGGAGACTAACAGCACATGAGCGACTCCTTCATTCTCCACATCCAGCTTCAGTCGCTCGCATCTGCATCTGCTCTGCTTTGTGTGCTTCATACAATACTATATGTGTGCTTTATCATTCAGTGGTGATTCTATAAATATTTACTCAATAAATAAAATACAATTGTAACTTAATATCTTTGTGTTCTTTTTTTTGATTCTATAAATATTTAGTCAATAAATAAAATACAATTGTAACTTAATATCTTTGTGTTCTTTTTTTTGTCATTTTTGTTTCGGGTCTTTCTTTGGATCAGGGCTTTAACTCACATTTAAAAAAGAAATAGAAACTTCACTCAGTGAACCATGAAAACACCTGCAGATACACGATGAAACGAACATGCCGCCAAATTATGAACCTCACAGATATAGTGTTAGATGAATTTAATAAGATAAAGTTTGTTAGATTAATGAATTTAGCAACTAGAAAACTCAATCAATTATTTATATTTTATACAATTTATATGAAAATCTACATAGTTGAGTGAGTGTTAGTGTTTGAGCAGCTGCAGCATCAGTTCAATCACTGTGACTCTGACTGACGGAGGTTTTTGTACGACTCTTTATCACTGTGTGAACACAACATTACTGTTAATCCTGTGTACACTCAGACAGTAATAATGTCCAGCATCTTCAGTCTGGACTCCACTGATGGTCAGAGTGAAATCAGTCCCAGATCCACTGCCACTGAATCTAGATGGAGTTCCTGACTGGAGGCGGTTTGTTAAATAAATCAGGAGTTTAGGAGCTTCTCCAGGTTTCTGTAAGTACCAGAACACACAGGGTGGGCTGCAGGCTGGAGCAGTACTAAATGTGCAGCTCATCTCTACATTTTCTCGTGGTGTTACAGTTTTCACTGAAGGAGTCTGAGTGACTGTGATCTGAGCTTTACACCCTAAACTGTTTAATATTTCATTCAGACTTTGATGCTGAGAGCATTTAATATCTGTTGTGCATATTTTAGCTATATCATCCATGATATTGTATAGCAGGTCAAAGGTCATCTAATAGGGAATGACCATCTAAGTCTTGCTAAAGATTTCATTATAAAGCAGGTTAACAGAATTAGCAGAGTTTAAAATCACGTGTGTACCAAAAATGCAATGAATGCATTTTAGGACTGATTATGAAACAAATTATTTCAGCCTTCATGCAATAACATATATTTTTTTAAAGATTTAAAAAAAAAAATCCATCTCTGATGTTGAGAAGAGCTGATGTTAATTCTCATATCAGTGTGTGTGAGTGTGGTTCTCTCTTCCTCTGCTAGAGTTTGTGTTCATTTGAGTGTGACGGAGGTTTTTGTACGACGCTTTCACTAGAATGAAGCACTGTGGTACACTTTTGGTGGAGGAACTGAACTGGTGATCAGAAGTAAGTCTTATTATTTTCCTAATAAAAATATATCACCAGTTTATGTACTGTATGTAATTACTTCATTTTGTCTGCTATATTATCAATGTGTCATATTCGATGATGTTTCATGTTTTTTTAATTTTCAAGCCACATTTCATATTTAATTGCATTTTTTGTTTTACATAAATCATTTCACACCTAATGTTTAAATTAATTCCGAACTTTATGATATTTTTAGTTCTTTCTTAATATATTTAATATTGTGCCTGACTCAGAAGTTGACAATGTAGACTAAATACATTTAATTTCATCTGTCATTATCAGACAAAAAAGAAATTCAGCAGATCAGCATTAAAAATGAATAATTCAACACATTATGCTTACCAATAATTCTGTTTATGAGTAATTGTCCTAATCAAAAATTATTTTAAAAATAACATATTGAATTTGTTTCCTAAATCAGAAAGGAGCATATTATAATTTTTAGAGTATTTCATGTTTGCTTCAGAGAACCGATTTATATTTCAACATATATCTTGTACTTGATTCACTGTAAAAAATGTGTACAGACAACTGGACAAAAGGACAACTGTGATTGCCAGACTTGTTCCTTTTTACTTCCAGAAACTTTAACAGTATTTTACTGTAAAATTACATGAAACGTCCTGTTAGATTTATTACAGTTTTTCATCGTATATAGTAGAGAACTATATAGTAGTAGATATACTGTTAACTGATTAACAAGTTTTTACTGTAGCACTTTTACAGTCTTTTACCATTAAAATTACGATCATTTTTTACAGTCTCCATTTTATAAGAGTAAATAATAATTTAGCTAATGAAGAATATTTTCAAACATAACTCCGGATGTTTGTGGAACATGAATGAAAGCAGAGATGTGGAATTACAGTAAAATGATGAAGTGATTGTGATTTTGGCTGCATTATCACGTCTGCTCCAGTGAAGATTGTAGCTGCAGATGTGAAGAAGTGAGTGTTGTGTGTGTTTGTGTGTTTCAGCTGGTCCCGCAGTGAAGCCCTCCGTGTCTCTGCTGCCTCCCTCTTCTCTGCAGATCTCTGGAGACTCAGCCGCACTGCTCTGCCTGCTCAGCTCTTACTCTCCACAGGGGGCGCAGGTGAGCTGGACGCTGGACGGGTCAGAGGTCACCGAGGGGGTTCAGACCAGCGCAGAGAGCGAGCGGGACGGACGCTACAGCCGCAGCAGCGTCCTGAGCCTCAGCAAAGCACGCTGGGAAGACGGCGAGCGCTTCGTCTGCAGAGTAACACATGACGGAGCTGATCACGAGACCTCGTTCCTCAAGAGCTCCGAGTGCTGATGTTTCTCCAGTGAAGAGCAGCAGGATTCACAGCAGTCACCTGATTTACAGCTCAATACTCAAGCAGTCTTTCAATGTGCTGCCATTGCTGTTCATTCAATAAAGCTTCTGAACGCCTTACATTTGTGTTCGACTGCATCATTGATCAGTGTGTCCTTCCTTCACTAAAGTTTCAGCTGCTGTTGATGGATTGTAATAGTTGAGAACAGCTGCGTTTAGCAGTAAATGTGAACTGAAGCTCTTGGGGTTTGAACATGGTCTCTGGAGACGGAGCTGCTCTATTCTGAGACGATCAGAATCACTAAAGCTGCCAATGCAAATCTGATTTTCAGCTCAAACTCACAGTTTCACTGTTTGATTGGTTCAACGCTCTGAACTGAACAGTTTCACTTCTGCTCATGCAGTGATGAGACAGTTATGAAGATTGAGTGGTAGTTTTATAAGATTTATGTACTGTAGCTCATGAATGAACTTAAACTGTAATGAAGAATGGAGACTTTTTGTTGTAAGATGATGAATAAACTATTCAAGCAGCAACACCTTTATGTCCTGCTGATGCTCTTTGGAATATGAATGTATAATTAGCAATAAGAAAGAAATTATGCATTAGAAAAATACATAATCAAAAATGTCATGGATTGAAAAATGAGTGAGTTGAGAGTCGAAGAGATACTCCATAAAACTTCTGAAAAAAAAGATCATTATATCCAAATAATTGTAATAAGCTTCAGAACATAATGATGGACCTCAACAAAATTGATATTAAGATCATATTTGTGTTTCTTCACTGTTGAGTGAGTGAGTGTTTGTTCAGCTGCAGCATCAGTTCAGTCACTGTGACTCTGACTGACGGAGGTTTTTGTACGACTCTTTATCACTGTGTGAACACATTACCACCCTCACAATCACCATCAGAATCAGTTCTGCAGTGAAAACTCTGACAGTAATAATGTCCAGCATCTTCAGTCTGGACTCCACTGATGGTCAGAGTGAAATCAGTCCCAGATCCACTGCCACTGAATCTAGATGGAGTTCCTGACTGGAGGCGGTTTGTTAAATAAATCAGGAGTTTAGGAGCTTCTCCAGGTTTCTGTAAGTACCAGGCTAACTCTTCATCCCCATCACTCCATCTGTACACATCTGTGCTGGTTTTACAGTTGATTTTGACTGTTTCTTCTGGTTGAGCTGCTGTCGTTGAGGGACTCTGAGTGACGCTGATCTGTCCTCTACTCTCTGAAACACACAACAAGAAGAAAATCAACTCAAAACTTTGACAATATACTTGAAGAAATGAATTCATATCAAACTTGTGCTCCACAAACCTTGAGCAAACGCTGTGAGAGTCCAGATGAAGATGATGATGAAGGTCATGTTGATGAAGATTGTTGTGTGTGTCAGTGATGAAGTGTTAAACTCACAGCACTATAAACACTCTCAGAGCACTGAAGCATCTGATCAATATGCAAACACACTCCACATCATTTACCTGAAGCCAGTCGCTCATTAACAGACACAAAATACACATACTGAAATTAGAAAAATGAATCTTTTTCATGATATTATATATTTTAATAGCCAATTTGTTATAAATGATATCAGACAATTCCCTTCTGAATGCATATTCAAAACCAACTTCAGTATATTATCCTGAATCTCTCCTGTGAGACTTTGAGAATATTTTTGATTGTAGTTGGATAGAAACATGATTGTTAATTCATAAATTTTATGCCAAATCCATGGATTTTCCTGCAGGTTTTTAACAGACACGAGGATCATCACATACGTGTCTCTGTTTGATTGTGAGTCGCGCCACACTATATATATACAAGTTAACTCTTTATAAATTCAGTTTCATGCTTTAGTAATCTAAGCATATAAAGTAAAGTAAGGTAATTTGTGCTGTGAGTGGATGTGTTTGTTGGAGACTCAGTTGATGTGTGTTTGTGCAGTTAGTGAAGCGTTCAGGAGGTTTTTGTTCAGCTGCTCTATTAGTTTCTATCACTGTGGTGGACGTTTGGCAGCGGCACCAAACTGGATGTTGGCAGTAAGTAAATCAATAAATTATCATTTAAAAAAAGTAATTGCATCTTAATATCCCAAAATTGTGGCTTTCTATGTTAAGAAAGGATGCATTTTATTTTTTTAAGTTTTTCATACATTTACTTTTTTTTTTTTTACTCTGAGGCAGAAACATTTTTGAATTTGCTATTTCTTTTAGACTTTTTTTTTAAACAAATGATTGTTTGTAAAATTGATGCACAATGACAATTTTTTTGTGAGTTTTTAAGTTTGTTTCCTAATTTTAAATCTTTCTTCAGCTTCTTAAACAAAAAGTTCATCAAAAGTTCATTTAGTTCATTTTGTAATTCCCTTTTTCTCATGTTCTCTTTTCATGTGAAGAAATTTGTGAACATCAATGTGTTAATTTAATTTTTTTATTTCAGTTTTATCTGCTTCATTAAGCATGTTGTTCATTTCGTTCTTCTGCTTGGAGAATTTCTCCTATTTTTATCTTTAACACATAAAGGAAAAGACTGGTGACTCTGATTTCTCTGTACTTCTCTCAGGCGTCACTCGTCCTAAAGTGAGCGTCCTGCCGCCCTCCAGTGCAGAGATCTCCTCAAAGAAGACAGCGACACTGGTGTGTGTGGCCAGCAAGGGCTTCCCGTCAGACTGGAGCCTGAGCTGGAAGGTGGACGGGAGCAGCAGGTCTCAGGAGAGCAGCGCTGGGCTCCTGGAGAAGGACGGTCTGTACAGCTGGAGCAGCAGCCTGACTCTCTCTGAGCAGGAGTGGATGGAGAGCGTCTCAGTGAGCTGTGAGGCCACACGGAGCGGCCAGCCTGCGCTCACTGGACACGTGACGAGACAGCAGTGTTCAGAGTAGATCTGCTGCTCTTCTCACTCATGTCTCACATGGAGACTAACAGCACATGAGCGACTCCTTCATTCTCCACATCCAGCTTCAGTCGCTCGCATCTGCATCTGCTCTGCTTTGTGTGCTTCATACAAGACTATATGTGTGCTTTATCATTCAGTGGTCATGCTATTAATATTTACTCGATAAATAAAATACAATTGTAACTTAATGTCTTTGTGTTCTTTTTTGTCATTTTTGTTTTGGGTCTTTCTTTGGATCATGGCTTTAACTGACATTTAAAAAAAAAAATTAGAAACTTAACTCAATGGACCATGAAAACACCTGCAGATACACTATGAAAAAACATGAACTTCACAAATATTAGACAAATTTAATAAGATTAAGTGGGTTAGATTAACATTCAGTAAGTGTAAAACTGAATAAATGCTTTATATTTTATTTTTAATATCCATGAAAATTCAAACTCACAGTTTCACTGTTTGATCAGTTAAACGCTCTGAACTGGATCAGTTTCACTTCTGCTCATGCAGTGCTGAGACAGTTATGAAGACTGAGTGGTAGTTTTATAAGACTTACACAACTTATGAATTAACTGTTTAGGGATGGAGACTTTTGACTGGAAGATGATGAATAAACTATTCAGCAGCAACACCTTTATGTCCTGCTGATTCTTTTTGGAATATGAATATATAATTAGAAAGAAGAAAGAAATTATGCATTATAAAAATACATCATGGATTGAAAAATGAGTGAGTGGAAAGTAGAAGAGATAAACCATAAAAGATCTAAAACAAATTATCAAAATAATTGTAATAATCTTCAAAAAATAATGATGGACCTCAACAAGATTGATATCAAGATCGTATTTGTTTCTGTACTGTTGAGTGAGTGATAGTGTTTGAGCAGCTGCAGCATCAGTTCAGTCACTGTGACTCTGACTGACGGAGGTTTTTGTACGACTCTTTATCACTGTGTGAATATATGTATACTGTTTATGTAGTGGTAACTCTGACAGTAATAATGTCCAGCATCTTCAGTCTGGACTCCACTGATGGTCAGAGTGAAATCAGTTCCACCTTGTTCTCCATTCCCACTGAATCGACTGAAACTGTTACCATAGCGATCGTTTACTCCAGTAATGATGAGTTTAGGAGTTTCTCCAGGTTTCTGCTGATACCAAGCTAAACCCCAGCTATCTATTCCAGCATCAGTTTTACACTCTATAGTGGCATCTTGTCCTTTAGAAACAGTCAGAACTTCAGGCTGAGTCACAGTGATTCCTCTGGATGCTGCTGACAACAACATTATATGTGTTTCATCAAATTAAATCAACATTAAAGAGTCAAAAATGAGCATCTTTCACTTCTGTTACCTGGAATAAAAGCTGTCAGAATCCAGATGAAGCTGCTGAAGAGATTCATTGTTGTTTGGTGGTTTTGTACCGTGGTAAACAGCAGTGTGTTATAAAGTGTTGGAGTCTGAACGCTATAAACACTCGGAGCGCTGAAGCATGTGCCGATGCAAAGTGACTCTCTGTGGAAAAACCCTCCTTCAGTCAGTCGATTTCTTCATTCTTCATACGACTCTCATCATCGACATTATACAGAGAAAAACACAAATGCACAAAGGCTCGTTGAGCATCTGACAATCACTGGATTGCAGTTTTTTTTTTAAATGAGTTTCTGTGTGTTTAACAGTTATCATGAGCTTTTATAAGCTGTCAGACTGTTGACTAGCAGTTGAAGTCAGTTTAAGACGCTGCTCTTGTCAACTGCATGACTTGTTTGTTTGAATGTGTTTGGTGAAAGTTATTTCTTTGAAAGGAAAATGCCCACCCACAGATGAAAACTGATTTGTTTTTTTGTGGCTTTAATTGTGTTTAATGCTAAAATTGCATGTTTTCACTTTATTTAAAAAATGTTTTTGCATTTTTATTCTACATCAATCTCTGGTGTGTAAAGAGTTTTTGTGATGTGTTGTTAATAAAGTAATTATTTTAATGAAGTATAGATTCATTATATATTTACTTGTATATTTTTGCAAATGTAATTTTGAATTCTCTTAAACACCAAATAATAATCAAACACACCTGAGCATGCTAATCAATGCCTTCAGGATCATTAGAAAATCACAGGTGGGTGAGTTGGATCAAAGTTGGAGCTAAACTCTGCAGGAAAGTGAGTTTAATGAGCCAGATTCGAGAATCCCTGATGTAGGCCGACTTGCTTTTCAGAGACTGTTTGAAAATGCTCCTTTCACCTCCTGATTCTGAAGTTGAAAGTGAGATAAAGGTGTGGTTGCAGAATTCAAGAGACAGAGCAGGTGGATGAAAGGAGCGCTACCACCGTCTGCTGACTAGTTGAGAGACCTCAGGGGAAGAGCGAGCTTCGCCAATGAATACTTTAGCACATCAAAACATATTTTCAGCAGTGGTGAAAGTAATAATTTGGTATTTTTTATTTTTATGTTAATTTGTAGTATTTTTATATTTGTATAGATAATATGTAGTCCCTTTCAGCGTGTTAAATTAGCTGTATTGACCTGAATTGAATTTTTTCTATTTTGTATTAAATAAATCCATTGATTTGCAATCCTTTTGACTACATTTTTGACAATCCAGACATTAGTTATGGGGTGACTGCATCCTGCATGTGTGGGCCTAGTGAGGGCTGAGTAAAGGGCCACCGCAGGCTTGTTTGCAGGGGTATGTTTATCTCTTCACCCGTGAAACAGTAGCTAGTGAAGATCCAGATGAAGATGGTGATGAAGCTCATGGTTGCTGTAGGTTCAGGTAATGTATAATAATGTCTTTATTAACTTGAGATGAAAAAGCTACTTGAGAAACTGCTCAAGAACATTTTTATGTTGCTGGTGATTCACACTGACTTTATGACTGTATAATAAGATATGAGTGTAGTGTACAAAAGAAAAAAAACATATTGCACCATTATTGTTTGTTTGATTTTAAATCAATTACATACTTGCTAGTTTTGGTTATTGGGGGGTGGGGGGTATATCCCCCATAAACTGCATATTTACCATATTTCAAAGTACATATAAAATATACTGAAGTCCCACTTAAGTGGTAAAGTTCAACTAATTGCATTTAATGTAATTTTAAACTGTACTATATTTGAAATCAATTATAAATAATATGCATTGAGGTGGTCGAAAACATTACATTTAAGTCACACTAAAGTGTATTGTTAACTGACATTAAAGTATATTTTAGTTAACATTAATTGTGATGATGCATGTAAAACATTACAGTGTTTAGGATATTTTCTCATGTTATGAGTCAAAAACATGTTTCGTGATTCATGCGTCTGAAGCTACAGGCTTTCTGATTATTCAAATGATGATTCAGTTGCATCAATGAGAGAAACAACTATGTCACTCTGATCTCCATGAGGGGGCAAAGGTCATTTCAGAGGTCATAGATCATCAAAACTTATTAAAATTACATTAACAATTAAAAATGCATTAATAATTTAGAGCCCCTTAAATTGAATTTTTTTTAATACAAATGTGACCAATACGCACACACACACACATATATATATAAAACCTCTATGCGAACACACTTGCCCGAAAAAGTGCGGGGGACGAATTTACATGATATTAAAAGTGTGGGGGGGGTGACACGTCCCCCGCATCCCCCGCGTAATCTACGCCCCTGCTTAAGTGTATTGTTAACTGACATTAAAGTATATTTTAGTTAACATTAATTGCTTGTCAGTACATTGGTAGTACACTTTAACCATATTCTAAAGACACTAGAAGCAATTATGAAAGTACATATAAAGATGTACTACAAAGTCCAACTTAAGTGGTTTAAAAAAATCACTCAATAGTTCAACTTATTGCATTTAATATAACTTTAAAATGTGATACATTTGAAATTAATTACAAATACAATGTATTTAAGCGGCGAAAATAACATATTTAATTTGCACTTGTGTGTTCTTTTAAAGTATATTATTTCCGCAATAAGTACACTTTATAAAAGTATACTTAAATGCACTTATTTTTCACAAGGGCAGATTTACAGATGTGTACAACTTTATTAACAAATTGTTGAATTGTGCTTAAGCGGCGAAAACATTCCATTTAATTTGCACTTACGTGTGTTCTTTTAAAGTATATTTTTTCTGCAATAAGTACACTTTATAAAAGTATACTTAAGTGCACTTCTTTTTCACAAGGGTAAGCAGCACTCATTGCACCGTCCCAGCGTCAGTCCTTTTGGCATCCCTCCACCTCCCCATCTCCTCCTCTATTTCTGTTACTCTCCCTCTAGGTACCGCAATGGACTGGATGGGCAGGCGAACTCATAAAACTGAATTTTGAGCACAATGTGTAGTTTCTGTGTTTGGTCTCTGTGTGTCAGTAGTGAGTGATAGTGTTTGAGCAGCTGCAGCATCAGTTCATCACTGTGACTCTGACTGACGGAGGTTTTTGTACGACTCTTTATCACTGTGTGAATATATATATACTGTTTATGTAGTGGAAACTCTGACAGTAATAATGTCCAGCATCTTCAGTCTGGACTCCACTGATGGTCAGAGTGAAATCAGTCTTAGATCCACTGCCACTGAATCTAGATGGAGTTCCTGACTGGAGTACGTTTGCTTTATAAATCAGGAGTTTAGGAGCTTCTCCAGGTTTCTGTAAGTACCAGGAAAGAGGCTGATAACCCCAACCCTGGTAAACTTCAGGGCTGGTTTTACAGGACATGGTAACTGTGTCTCCTGGTTGAACAGGTTTCACTGCAGGCGTCTGAGTGACTGTCACTTCAGCTGCTGAGTCTATATTGAGAAAAAGGAATAAACATTCATAATTAAATATCTGTTGGAGGACAGTATTTCTAGCACAGATGATCAGTTAGAATAGAATGTTTATCTCTTCACCTGTGAAGCAATAGCTAGTGAAGATCCAGATGAAGATGGTGATGAAGCTCATGGTTGCTGTTGGTTCAGATTCTCAGAGTTCAAACTCACAGAGCTATAAAACCTCCTGAAGCTTGTGCTGCAATGCAAATCATCTCTATGTAAATCTGTGTACGGGTTACAGCAGATGATATACATGAAACATAACAGTGTTTAGGACCTTTTCTCATGTAATGAGTCAAAAACACTTATTCACGTCTGAAGCTACAGACTTTCTGATGGTTCAAATGATTAGAAGAAACTAGTTTGTCACTGAGGGCAAAGGTCATTCCAGAGGTCACAGGCCAACAAAACAAAACTGCTTTGATGATTAAAAATGCATTGAGGAATGCATGATCATTTAGAAACTCAAAATGTTGATGTCTAATGAAAATGAGATTAATGCATTTTTTTGTTTATATGTTTAGAATGAATTACAAGTTTTCATGCATCAAGAGACGTTTAGAAACGATGAGACTGTTTTTCTGAAAGTTACTTTAGTTGGATGTTGAGAAGAGCTGCTGTTGAGTCTCATATCAGTGTGTGTGAGTGTCGTGGAGTTTGTGTTCATCTGAGTGTGACGGAGGTTTTTGTACGACGCTTTCACTAGAATGAAGCACTGTGCTACACTTTTGGTGGAGGAACCAAAATGATGATCAATAAGATCAGTAAATTCTATCATAAAAATTAATGATATTTTAATTTGCTTTATTTACAACTATGTATTAATATTCAGTGATATTTCATGACATTTCTTTTTTTCCATTTAAATTAATATTTCATCTTTACATTAATAATTTCACATCTTATTATTGCTAACATTTCATTGCATTTTAATTAATTGATTGAAATATTTTGATATATAGTCAATTATTCTGTAATATAATTGTGCCCATAATTCTAGACACTTAACAATTAAGAGTTTTTGAAATGCAAGGCACAAAAGTTTGATAATGTGAACAAAATGATTATTAATACATTTAGTTACTGAAATTTTTACAAATTAATATTTTAAACATACATTTCCATATAATTATGATTGTGAGGGTCTGATATGATCTTTTAAAAATACAATTCATATAATATTAATTTTTTTTTTTTATTTTTTTTTTTAATAATGATGAATTTGCATATGAGCAATATTTTTAAAATCAGTTTGAGAATAATTTAAAATGTAACTCATTAATTCAGAAAATAGATCATTATTATAATGTTTTAGTGTTTGAGCAGCTGCAGCATCAGTTCAGTCACTGTGACTCTGACTGACGGAGGTTTTTGTACGACTCTTTATCACTGTGTGAACACATAACCACTGTGGTAGCTCTGACAGTAATAATGTCCAGCATCTTCAGTCTGGACTCCACTGATGGTCAGAGTGAAATCAGTCCCAGATCCACTGCCACTGAATCTAGATGGAGTTCCTGACTGGCGGGTGTTTGTTAAATAAATCAGGAGTTTAGGAGCTTCTCCAGGTTTCTGTAAGTACCAGGACACACAGGGTGGGCTGCAGGCTGGAGCAGAACTAAATTTACAGCCCATCTCTACATTTTCTCGTGGTGTGGCAGTTTTCACTGAAGGAGTCTGTCTAATAGCCAGGTTGTTATAAATTGAATCAGATCATTCACTTCTGAATAAATCTGCCAATACCAACTTTACTATATTATCCTGACTCTCTCCTGAGAGACTGAGGATATTTTTGACTGTAGTTGGATAGAAACATGACTGTTAATTTCTAAATTTTATGTCAAATCCATAGATGTTCCTGCAGGTTTTTAACAGACACGAGGATCATCACACACACGTGTCTCTGTCAATCACTGAATCAATGATCCACATCATTTACCTGAAGACAGTCGCTCAATAACAGACACAAAATACAATTACTGAAATGAGAAAAAAATAATCTTTTTCATAATATTACATTTTCTAATAGCCAGGTTGTTATAAATTGAATCAGATCATTCACTTCTGAATAAATCTGCCAATACCAACTTTACTATATTATCCTGCTTTATCATTCAGTGGTCATGCTATTAAGATTGACTCAATAAATAAAATACAATTGTAACTTTATGTCTTTGTGGGGTTTTTTTTTCAGGTCTTCCTTTTGATCAGGGTTTTAGCTCACATTGAATTCAGTCGCTCGCATCTGCATCTGCTCTGCTTTGTGTGCTTCATACAAGACTTTATGTGTGCTTTATCATTCAGTGGTCATGCTATTAAGATTGACTCAATAAATAAAATACAATTGTAACTTTATGTCTTTGTGGGGTTTTTTTTCAGGTCTTCCTTTTGATCAGGGTTTTAGGTCACATTTAAATTTTTTTTTTAGAAAATTCACTCAGTGGACATGAAAACACCTGCAGATACACGATGAAACATTATGAACCGCACAAATATAGTGTTAGATCAGCACGATAAAGTGTTAGATTAACCTATTTACTGTAGCAAGTGGAAATCTCAATGAATGTTTTATATTTCATTTAATATCCATTAAAATGTTCACTGTTGAGTGAGTGATAGTGTTTGAGCAGCTGCAGCATCAGTTCAGTCACTGTGACTCTGACTGACGGAGGTTTTTGTATGACTCTTTATCACTGTGTGAACACATATTGACTGTTGATGTAGTGTTCACTCTGACAGTAATAATGTCCAGCATCTTCAGTCTGGACTCCACTAATGGTCAAAGTAAAATCTCTCCCAGATGATCTGCTGCCAGTGAATCTAGATGGAGTTCCAGATTGCCGACTGATTGCTCCATAAATCAAGAGTTTAGGAGCTTCTCCAGGTTTCTGTAAGTACCAGCTAAGAAAATGGTTTCCATTGTGACAACAGTTTGCATCACTGTTAAATGTAAAATGTACAGTGACTGAGTGTCCAGTTTGAGCGAGCAGCACTGAGGGAGTTTGAGTCACTGACACCTGCCACCTGCCCTCTGTCAAATGAGAAAGATTAGAAATAACAGATACTTTTACAGCCATAAATCTTCATAACACTCATGAAAATAAGTAAACAATGTATGTAATCTTTAACTGACACAAACCTCGACATAATACTGCCAGCGTCCAGATCAATATGGATATGAAAGTCATTTTTGTTGGTTGTAGATTCAGTTATAGTGAAAAACAGTTGATCATGTTTGATGTTTGAGTTATAAACACATGCAGAGCACTGAAGCGTGTGTCGCTCATGTAAAACACACTCTCTATGCAAATTCAGGAGAATGTCAGCAGGTTTAAGTTGGTTTAATGTGCTGTTTCACTGAGCCTTAAGAAAATATGAAATGAGTTCACATTTTAATATAATCCTTTGTTGATATAAAGCAACATCACATTTTTATGAAATATTATTTCTCGATTTTTTTAGTAGGCTACATGTAGTCAGTGTTACAGAAAAATAATGATAATGCAACAAATAAAGGTATCATGTTATATTTATTTTAATCAGGTTTGTGAAAAGTGTGATTGAATGATGTTAGTTCATTTGCGCAACCATGTATTTGCTATAACAATAAAAATATTTGTAAAAACAGTTATAAACAAGTAATGATGCAATCCTTTAAATCTTAACTCTTGAGTGAAGCGGAATTAAATGGATGTAAAATTATTATCATGTCACATGTGACACATTTTATTTAATGTGACAGAAAAAAAAGTAACACCAGTGACATATATATTCATCTGATTTCTGTTTACTACAGTACAACAAATGGACAAACGGAGCGACAGTACGAGATGTAGAATGGAAGTCAAGATATCTCTAATTAAATTCTGTATAGACTATTCCTCACACATGGATTCAGAATGTAGCGCACAAGTCATGTGAACTACTTTTATGATGCCTTTTTTCACATTTAGAGTTTGAGTCATCAGCTGCCGTTGTGTGGAAAATAGGAGAAGCTTGAACATTCTGCTAAACTGCTACACATCCCTATTTGAGTTTCTCAGAGCCATGGAGCGACATAAGGGTGAGTAAATTATTACAAATATTCTATGAACTATCCATCCTCCCACAGTCAACCTTTTTCATATTGAAATCACCAAATTACTCCAGGTTGCATCAGTGTAAAGACACTTTTTGTTAGATTTACATATGAACTTGTAAGAGTCTTATTCAGTTGATGAATCTAAATGATTAACTTTTATTAAAATGTACCCAAATCCCAGATGACACTGAGCAGAATGGCTTCAATTTTTGTATGACTCTTTATCACTGTGTGAACACATATTGACTGTTGATGTAGTGTTCACTCTGACAGTAATAATGTCCAGCATCTTCAGTCTGGACTCCACTAATGGTCAAAGTAAAATCTCTCCCAGATGATCTGCTGCCAGTGAATCTAGATGGAGTTCCAGATTGCCGACTGATTGCTCCATAAATCAAGAGTTTAGGAGCTTCTCCAGGTTTCTGTAAGTACCAGCTAAGAAAATGGTTTCCATTGTGACAACAGTTTGCATCACTGTTAAATGTACAGGTTACAGTGACTGAGTGTCCAGTTTGAGCGAGCAGCACTGAGGGAGTTTGAGTCACTGACACCTGCCCAAAGATAATTAAATAAGATAATTAAAAAAGTTATATTTTCTGATTAGTGTGTTGATTTTTAAGTAGCCTGCAGATATTTTCAAACTGGAAATTGCTTAATTGTATTTTTTGTTAACGATAATATTTGAAGTTATTTTTAAAGTTATAGTACACATCCCAGATATTTTGTTTTATTTTCTATTTTTAAAGCAAAGTTTTGTACCCGATTTTCTCATGCTGTCATCAAAAATTATAATGAATTCCTGCAGGTCTATTTATTTATATCTGATCTTTCATGCTTTTAATCAAAGTAACATTAAATTTGATAATGATAACGACTCTTCAATATATCAATATATTTCACTAAACATTCGTTGCTTTGCTGATCACAGGCTTTGTAAAAGTTAATTCTGGTGACTTGCAGTGTAATGTTGTCCAGTTTGAGCGAGCAGCACTGAGGGAGTTTGAGTCACTGACACCTGCCCAATAGATTCTGTCAAATGAGAAAGATTAGAAATAACAGATACTTTTACAGCCATAAATCTTCATAACACTCATGAAAATAAGTAAACAATGTATGTAATCTTTAACTGACACAAACCTCGACATAATACTGCCAGCGTCCAGATCAATATGGATATGAAAGTCATTTTTGTTGGTTGTAGATTCAGTTATAGTGAAAAACAGTTGATCATGTTTGATGTTTGAGTTATAAACACATGCAGAGCACTGAAGCGTGTGTCGCTCATGTAAAACACACTCTCTATGCAAATTCAGGAGAATGTCAGCAGGTTTAAGTTGGTTTAATGTGCTGTTTCACTGAGCCTTAAGAAAATATGAAATGAGTTCACATTTTAATATAATCCTTTGTTGATATAAAGCAACATCACATTTTTATGAAATATTATTTCTCGATTTTTTTAGTAGGCTACATGTAGTCAGTGTTACAGAAAAATAATGATAATGCAACAAATAAAGGTATCATGTTATATTTATTTTAATCAGGTTTGTGAAAAGTGTGATTGAATGATGTTAGTTCATTTGCGCAACCATGTATTTGCTATAACAATAAAAATATTTGTAAAAACAGTTATAAACAAGTAATGATGCAATCCTTTAAATCTTAACTCTTGAGTGAAGCGGAATTAAATGGATGTAAAATTATTATCATGTCACATGTGACACATTTTATTTAATGTGACAGAAAAAAAAGTAACACCAGTGACATATATATTCATCTGATTTCTGTTTACTACAGTACAACAAATGGACAAACGGAGCGACAGTACGAGATGTAGAATGGAAGTCAAGATATCTCTAATTAAATTCTGTATAGACTATTCCTCACACATGGATTCAGAATGTAGCGCACAAGTCATGTGAACTACTTTTATGATGCCTTTTTTCACATTTAGAGTTTGAGTCATCAGCTGCCGTTGTGTGGAAAATAGGAGAAGCTTGAACATTCTGCTAAACTGCTACACATCCCTATTTGAGTTTCTCAGAGCCATGGAGCGACATAAGGGTGAGTAAATTATTACAAATATTCTATGAACTATCCATCCTCCCACAGTCAACCTTTTTCATATTGAAATCACCAAATTACTCCAGGTTGCATCAGTGTAAAGACACTTTTTGTTAGATTTACATATGAACTTGTAAGAGTCTTATTCAGTTGATGAATCTAAATGATTAACTTTTATTAAAATGTACCCAAATCCCAGATGACACTGAGCAGAATGGCTTCAAAACACAATGTTGTGAATGTCAAAATCCAGATCTGAGTCAAATTTATGGCCGGTTTAGAAATAGACAATCCTGATTGAGTTTTCTAGTTAAAAGTGCAGTGGCCGGATCTGCAGCGCTGATAGAAACCTACAAGATAGTGACTGCCAAATGTGCATCGACTAATAAATACTATACTGACTTGAAGGAGGTGGATACTCATGCAAAGCAATATTTTGTGTTTAATAATTGTAACTGATCATTTTTAAATTCAAATATGTAATATTTCACCAATTTTATTTCTTTGTTGATCTGAAAAATAAAGCCTTGTTTAATCATCTGTAATTCAATAATGTGCAACAAAAACACATGAAAACTTTCACAGAGGTGAACAATTTTTAAAAGAACTGTATATGGCCAATATGTTTACTATGAATGTAATCATCACATCACAGAGCACAACGGCTCTTCAGTCAAAAGATCCCAGTATGGCTCACTGTGATCACTATTGCAAAGATACTATTTAAACTGAACTGAGCTGGATGATGACATCACTGAATTCAATGATGAACTGCCTTTAACTGAAAAATGAGTGTTTACTATTGTCATTTTGCATTATTGACACACTATTTTCCTAATTAATGCTGTTCAGTTGCTTTGACACAATCTGTATTGTTAAAAGTGCAATATAAATAAAGGTGACTTGACTTGATCAGGTCAAAAGGTTATATAGCAAATAAAGAGTTTTTTTCTAGTCAGTAAATATCATGCATAACTGAATTAAATAGTTCAATAGTTTGCTGATCACCAGAAGTCACTGAAATAGCCCGTGCCATAAGATAAAAATCAGGTGTGTTTTGTGTGTTTACAGATGTGTTTGCTCTGGTGGACTGTGATAGAAGAGAAAAATGTTGAAATCCTCTGTCATTCTGTCTGTGTGTGTGTGTGTGTGTGTGATAGTGTTTGAGCAGCTGCAGCATCAGTTCAGTCACTGTGACTCTGACTGACGGAGGTTTTTGTACGACTCTTTATCACTGTGTGAACACCCAGCTACTACTGATATAGTGTGCACTCTGACAGTAATAATGTCCAGCATCTTCAGTCTGGACTCCACTGATGGTCAGAGTGAAATCAGTTCCATAATTTGCTCCATTGCCACTGAATCTAGATGGAGTTCCTGACTGCCGCGAGCTAATGTAATAGATGAGGAGTTTAGGAGCTTCTCCAGGTTTCTGCAGATACCAGGAGAAACAGTCACTACAACCCTGTGAACGATCTCCGATTCCCCTGCTAGTCTGACAGTTTAAAGTAACTGTTTCTCCTGGCTGAACAGCTGCTACTGAGGGAGTCTGAGTCACAGAAATGTGTCCTGTAGTTTCTGTGAATGACATTTCATAAGATAATAATTGACAGTTATTAAATTCAAAGTATCCTGAACAAAATCAGATTTACTATCAAACACATGCATATAAATCACATTTTGAGTTATAAATGAACCTTGAACACAAAGAATGAGTGTCCAGATACAGACGCTGATGATCATCATCTTCTTGCTGGTTGCTCTTTCAGTTAAAATTTAGAAAAGCTCTCAGTGATGAAGTGTTAAACTCACAGCGCTATAAACACTCTCAGAGCACTGAAGCATCTGATCAATATGCAAACACACTCCACATCATTTACCTGAAGACAGCAGAAACACCATTTTTCCATTTTGTTTGTGCAACAGCTTTGCTAGTAAGCACTAGATGCATTATTTTGAGCTCAGCTAAAACACTGTTTTAATGACCAATTTTATTAAGACTTAGATTCTGAAAATGGTTTTGTTTAATTGTAATAGTTGAGAACAGCTGTGTTTAGCAGTAAATGTGAACTGAAGCTCTTGGGGTTTGAACATGGTCTCTGGAGACAGAGCTGCTCAATAAAGAGTTTTTTTCTAGTCAGTAAATATCATGCATAACTGAATTAAATAGTTCAATAGTTTGCTGATCACCAGAAGTCACTGAAATAGCCCGTGCCATAAGATAAAAATCAGGTGTGTTTTGTGTGTTTACAGATGTGTTTGCTCTGGTGGACTGTGATAGAAGAGAAAAATGTTGAAATCCTCTGTCATTCTGTCTGTGTGTGTGTGTGTGTGTGTGATAGTGTTTGAGCAGCTGCAGCATCAGTTCAGTCACTGTGACTCTGACTGACGGAGGTTTTTGTACGACTCTTTATCACTGTGTGAACACCCAGCTACTACTGATATAGTGTGCACTCTGACAGTAATAATGTCCAGCATCTTCAGTCTGGACTCCACTGATGGTCAGAGTGAAATCAGTCCCAGATCCACTGCCACTGAATCTAGATGGAGTTCCTGACTGGAGGGTGTTTGTTCTATAAATCAGGAGTTTAGGAGCTTCTCCAGGTTTCTGCAGATACCAGGAGAAACAGTCACTACAACCCTGTGAACGATCTCCGATTCCCCTGCTAGTCTGACAGTTTAAAGTAACTGTTTCTCCTGGCTGAACAGCTGCTACTGAGGGAGTCTGAGTCACAGAAATGTGTCCTGTAGTTTCTGTGAATGACATTTCATAAGATAATAATTGACAGTTATTAAATTCAAAGTATCCTGAACAAAATCAGATTTACTATCAAACACATGCATATAAATCACATTTTGAGTTATAAATGAACCTTGAACACAAAGAATGAGTGTCCAGATACAGACGCTGATGATCATCATCTTCTTGCTGGTTGCTCTTTCAGTTAAAATTTAGAAAAGCTCTCAGTGATGAAGTGTTAAACTCACAGCGCTATAAACACTCTCAGAGCACTGAAGCATCTGATCAATATGCAAACACACTCCACATCATTTACCTGAAGACAGCAGAAACACCATTTTTCCATTTTGTTTGTGCAACAGCTTTGCTAGTAAGCACTAGATGCATTATTTTGAGCTCAGCTAAAACACTGTTTTAATGACCAATTTTATTAAGACTTCGATTCTGAAAATGGTTTTGTTTAATTGTAATAGTTGAGAACAGCTGTGTTTAGCAGTAAATGTGAACTGAAGCTCTTGGGGTTTGAACATGGTCTCTGGAGACGGAGCTGCTCTATTCTGAGACGATCAGAATCACTAAAGCTGCCAATGCAAATCTGATTTTCAGCTCAAACTCACAGTTTCACTGTTTGATCGGTTCAACGCTCTGAACTGGAACAGTTTCACTTCTGCTCATGCAGTGATGAGACAGTTATGAAGATTGAGTGGTAGTTTCATAATGAACTTAATGGACTGTAATGAGGGATGGAGACTCTTCACTTGTAGATTCACATGTAGCTGGACAGACTTTGAGATGGTGGAAATGGTGGTAGTTATTACAGTCTGTTCTACAATTATTAGATCTTTTGTCCTGTAGTTTGTGATGGTAAATGTGTCTTCTAGATGAACCGATTTCACTGCAGGTGTCTGACTGCTGGACTGTGATCATGTTTCTGTACTGTTGAGTGAGTGATAGTGTTTGAGCAGCTGCAGCATCAGTTCATCACTGTGACTCTGACTGACGGAGGTTTTTGTACGACTCTTTATCACTGTGTGAATATATGTATACTGTTTATGTAGTGGAAACTCAGACAGTAATAATGTCCAACATCTTCAGTCTGGACTCCACTGATGGTCAGAGTGAAATCAGTCTTAGATCCACTGCCACTGAATCTAGATGGAGTTCCTGACTGGAGTACGTTTGCTTTATAAATCAGGAGTTTAGGAGCTTCTCCAGGTTTCTGTAAGTACCAGGAAAGAGGCTGATAACCCCAACCCTGGTAAACTTCAGGGCTGGTTTTACAGGACATGGTAACTGTGTCTCCTGGTTGAACGGGTTTCACTGCAGGCGTCTGAGTGACTGTCACTTCACCTCTTGATTCTAGAGTACATTAAGAAAAATAAATAAATGTAGAATTATATGTGTTGAAGGACAATATTTTAACCCAGAGGATCAGTTAGAATTAAAAAAAAAGAATAAAAACAGTTTATTTCCTCACCTGTGAAACAGTAGCTAGTGAAGATCCAGATGAAGATGGTGATGAAGCTCATGGTTGCTGTTGGTTCAGATTCTCAGAGTTCAAACTCACAGAGCTATAAAACCTCCTGAAGCTTGTGCTGCAATGCAAATCATCTCTATGTAAATCTGTGTATGGGTTACAGCAGATGATATACATGAAACATAACACTGTTTAGGACCTTTTCTCAAGTTATGAGTCAAAAGCATTGATTCAAGTGTCTGAAGCTACAGACGTTCTGATGATTCAAATGACGGAGCGGCATAACTAACAAAAGTTATTTAAAATGCTATTTGTGTGTTTAAATGTTCATTTTATTAGCACAGCAAATGTTAATGCTCTTTATGCTATTTAATGTCCCTGTCAACATTCTGAGCTGCAGAGAAAGGCACTGTAATTTTCTCATCCATTTGTCACAAAACTATATTATATATAATTTAAATTAGCCTATATACAGTATATATATATATAAAATTATTTTATTTTTGTCATATGTATGATTCATGAAATTGTTTATAAAAAAAATCCTTATGAAGAATAGTTATTCGTTTTGCTCATATATTTGTGTGAATAAAATTCGTTATGAAGAGTATTTGTTATGAAGTTGATTTAAATTTTCTTTATAACAAATTTTAAGAAGTTAAAAGTTAAGAAAAAAATGGAATTAGCCTGTAGATAGAGTTTCTTAACCGTGTGAATAAAATTCGTTATGAAGAGTATTTGTTATGAAGTTGATTTAAATTTTCTTTATAACAAATTTTAAGAAGAAGTTAAAAGTTAAGAAAAAAATGGAATTAGCCTGTAGATAGCCTAACTTTTATTAGACTGCAGATCGAAATAAAATAATTCTCGGTAATCTTTAAAATGAGACAAATCACTGACATAATTTAGGCTATTTGACTGCAGAAAAAAACGAATAGTCTAAAACCATTTAATTTGCCATGTTAACTTATGAATTAAAAGAAAGACAAGAAACAAATCATAACAAGAACAGTTGAGGTTTTTCTTGTAATCAAGAAAGCAGTATTTGACAAAATTACAAAATGAATAGCCTACTAAATGATGTGTGACAGTGAGCGCATCTCCACTATAGCCGCATATAGCCTACAATCGCTGGCGTCAGTCGCAAATATTAAACATGTTTTAAAAAATCTTTGTGAAAACGACTGGCAACGACTGGTTCCTGAATTCTAAGATTATAATCTTTAGTCACCACACACTATGCAACTTTTTCTGCCGACAGCGACTGAGCCCAACTGGAACAGACCCAGTCCGACTATAGGCTCGATCCGTCGTCAAGACTAAAATACATTCACAATCGGCATGACAGTCTGTAGTGTGTTCTCGGCTTAAGAGAAACAGTTATGTCACTGATCTCCATGAGGAGGCAAAGGTCATTCCAGAGGTACAGGCCATTAAAATTGATTAAAATTACATTAATCATTAAAATGCTTTGATCATTTAGAAATCCCAAATGTAGATTTTTTAATAAAATGTGATCAATACATAGATTTTGAGTCAGTAGTTATTAGAAATATATTGTAGAAACTTTAATTTTCTGTAAAGCTGCTTTGCAACGATTTGTATCGTGAAAAGCGCTATACAAATAAACTTGAATTGAAAATGAGTTCAACGTCTTTATTAACTTGAGATGAAGGAGCTACTTGAGAAACTGCTCAAGAACATCTTTATGTTGCTGCTGCAACACAATGACTTTACTGTATGACTGTATAATAAGGTGAGTGTATTGTACAAAATCAAAACAGCATATTACGCCATTATTGTTTGATTTAGTCAATTTACACACTCTGTTTTCTCTGATTCTGAGCATAGTTGAGTCAAACTCGTCTGTCACAGGACAGATCACTGTAGTAGAGCTGATTTCACTCCTGAGTTTTGAGCTCATGTGTAGTTCCTGTGTTTGGTCTCTGTGTGTCAGTAGTGTTAGAGCAGCTGCAGCATCAGTTCATCACTGTGACTCTGACTGACGGAGGTTTTTGTACGACTCTTTATCACTGTGTGAACACATTAACACTGTTGATGTAGTGGTAACTCTGACAGTAATAATGTCCAGCATCTTCAGGCTGGACTTCACTGATGGTCAGAGTGAAATCAGTCCCAGATCCACTGCCACTGAATCTAGATGGAGTTCCTGACTGGAGGGTGTTTGTTCTATAAATCAGGAGTTTAGGAGCTTCTCCAGGTTTCTGTAAGTACCAGGACACACAGGGTGGGCTGCAGGCTGGAGCAGAACTAAATTTACAGCTCATCTCTACATTTTCTCATGGTGTGACAGTTTTCACTGAAGGAGTCTGAGTGACTGTTATCTGAGCTTTACACCCTGAGAAACAAACATTTATTAATCCATAAAAATATATTATTTGACATATAATAAAATTATTTAATTAATATTATTTCAAATATACACTATTCACCTTGTAGTATAAAGCAGTATAAAAGTGTCCAGATGAAGATGATGATGAAGGTCATGTTGATGAAGATTGTTGTGTGTGTCAGTGATGAAGTGTTAAACTCACAGCACTATAAACACTCTCAGAGCACTGAAGCATCTGATCAATATGCAAACACACTCCACATCATTTACCTGAAGACAGTCACTCAGTCTCAGTCATAGGCCTAGAATAAAAAACAATTCCTGAAGTGAGAACATCTAGTAAAAAATCAGTCTTTTTATAACATTCAATCTTCTGTTTAGCCAAACTATTAAAAACTGTATCATTCAATTTAATTCTCAATACATCTTCAAGACCAATTTTAGTATATTAACCTGACTCTTTCCCGTGAGACTTTGAGAATATGTTTTACTCTAGTTGGATTGACACGTCACTGTTAATCCCAAATTTTATGATAAATCCATGGATGTTCCTGCAGGTTTTTAACAGACACGAGGATCATCACACACGTGTCTCTGTCAATCACTGAATCAATGAGTTTGATTGTGAGTCGCGTCACACTATATATCGTATATACAAGTTAACTCTTTATAAATTCAGTTTCATGCTTTAGTAATCTAAGCATATAAAGTAAAGTAAGGTAATTTGTGCTGTGAGTGGATGTGTTTGTTGGAGACTCAGTTGATGTGTGTTTGTGCAGTTAGTGAAGCGTTCAGGAGGTTTTTGTTCAGCTGCTCTATTAGTTTCTATCACTGTGGTGGACGTTTGGCAGCGGCACCAAACTGGATGTTGGCAGTAAGTCAATCATCATTTAATATTATTAATACAACAACTGACTGTTAAACACTTTGTTGCTCTATAGAAAGGATGCACTTTTACACTTATTTCTATATTGTAATTTTATTTTTAGTTCACTTTGAATGTTTGGCAGTCAACATTAAAAACCGGTTTCACTTTATTTTGATGGTCCCTTTAACACATTCTGTTGACTATAAGTAATGTTGCACCTACATGTCTACTAATTTACTAAGTGATGATTAAAAAAGATAATTAAATAAGATAATTAAAAAAGTAATTAAACTAACATTTTCTGATTAGTGTGTTGATTTTTAAGTAGCCTTGCAGATATTTTCAAACTGGAAATTGCTTAATTGTATTTTTTGTTAACGATAATATTTTAATAAGTTATTTTTAAAGTTATAGTACACATCCCAGATATTTTGTTTTATTTTCTATTTTTAAAGCAAAGTTTTGTACCCGATTTTCTCATGCATGAATTCCTGCAGGTCTATTTATTTACATCTGA